AGGCCGGGATGTTTCATTCCATTATCTAAAAAAAATTACATGCCTAACTTCAGGGCCGTCCCATTAAATTCAGGGGCCCTGTGCAAAGTTGAAGAATAAAAACTTAATTAACGATATAATATGAAAATAATTTATATTCCATAATATATTTCATAGTAATCTGGAATGATCTAAATTGATAATCTAATATTAGGGATTACCGGATTAGAAATTACTAGAAATAATTAGGTCAGGGGTGCGGCAGGCGTCAGGCGGCAGGATCGCACGAGAGAAAGAGGTGAGGCGTCGTTTACTTCTCCCGTTCATTGCGATTGGCGATTGGTGAGGTCCACAGTGGGAGGCGGTTCAAGATTGAGAACCGGCCAACTGTGCGAACCGGTAAAGGCGTAATCGAAGCCGAAACGACAAGAAAAATAACAGATTTTCAAGACTAGTTAGGCTACCAATTTACTTATTGAGTTGTATATCTAGTGTTGAAGTTTTGGGCCTAGGGGCCCTGAAAATTGGGGGCCCTGTGCAGGCACGCTGGCCGCATGCCCCTAGGGAGGGCCCTGCCTAACTTTACCAATTTTTTGTACAAGATGCCATTGAAGAGTATTCTTGTATATCTTGAAGGATCTTTTAGGTATCCACCCATATGAAATATTGTAGAAAAAAAAACAAAGTCAGTGTCATGCATGTTATAGACATAGATTATAAAGCCGATGGTAAATCGTTGAACTAGAGTAAACTCGATGGCATAGAATGGATTGTCTATGATATACTACATGTGGTGTTGACACCACACATACATATGCCGTTTTGAGCATATATTTTGTTAAACTTTAAAATTATGAACATCAATATCTTGCCATATCGGTATATATATTTGCTTTGGAATATACTTCGATAATATTATAGCTTCATCCGCTGTATAAACATACCACTATAGAAGTTAGTGGAGAAATTAAGTTATATTTGAAGACCATATAGATATTCCAAAATTAATGTTTTCAAGGCAAGAGGAAGTGTGGACCCCCGTTTTTATAACAGGAATCATTCATATAAACAGTATCATTTCCCTGGATCAAGTAGTCTGGTACACACGGGTTCATAGCTGAAATACCAAATGCACATACACGAGAGTCTAGTGCTAATTATTACATCATAAGCCCGCATGCATTGTCTTAAATCATCGGACCGAGCGGTCCGGAATACATCCAAAAGCAGAAATAGATAAGGCAGCGGAATTTAGGCAGCGGCATGCCATTGCCACAGGCAACGACCGTACTAAGACCTACCGAGCGCCATCGTCTTCATCTCCATCCTGGTAGTAGGCATAGGGATCCTCCGAAGCTTCATCTTCCGCTTCTGATTAATTTTATATTCGCAAGGGTGAGTACCAACCGTACTCAGCAAGCCACCACAGCAACAATGCATATGATAGGGGTATTTCAAAGGATGGCTATGGTTCTTTTGCGCAAAGCAAATTTTGTAATCCTTTTCACAAACCTAAGACCTAGCATTGACTGATCAAATTTTAGTACCAGTGTTTGTATTTAAACAACGACGGTTCTGTCCACCATCCATTGTGATCCCAAGGATAGCTTCCCGCCATTGAGTCGTTATGGTTTTCTGAGGACGCCCACCTTCCCCCTTCTCAGGAAGTGGCTCCAACAGCATAAAAATTCATCATGCAATAACCCATCCCACACAAGTTAAGAATTTAGAGACTAGCCAAGTGTAATACATGTCTCGGTGCTCAATAACCGCGAGCACGGCTATTCGAATAGATTTGGTTTATTCACACTGCAGTGGATCTACACTTTACCCACACCCCGCGACAGCCCAACACATGAGCCTTGTCTCAACACATGAGATGCGTCATGGCAAAGCTTTTCGATAACCTCGCATTGGCAGTACCCACTCCATGAACTTTTCATCCTCATGCACTCTAGGCATACACAGTTTCTAGCAGTGAGAGGAGTTCTGGCGCACCCGGGAAGGGAAGGTTTACACCCATGTATTTAAGTTATAACTAGGTTCAACTGAACACACGACAGTCCTAGCAATGGCGACACCATTGTAGAGCCCCTGCCTTACACATGAGAAACCACTATGCATGGGTACTGCCTCCGCTCGGCTATTTACTCCGCTAGGTCTATCCCCATTCGAGAAATGTGGTTGTACGGGGTCGTTTCATGCTTAACTTCATGGCTCGGTCCTTAATTGACCAGGGACGGTACTAGCCTTTCCCGGATACCACCCAAATCCACCGTCCGCCCCGGTCTAAAACAAATGTTTTTAATTCTTTCATGTCATCATTATCATGGCAATGTGGCGCTGATGTCTCCACATGCCGCATCTCAATTACCTTCCCAAAGGTAATTGCCCAAGCATATAATATTTGATAAATATGAGTATGCAAGATTCTAAAGTAGCATTTCTAAGCAAGTGTCATAATTGACTAGGGACTCATACGTAATCATGGTTACAAAGATTTAAGGGTAAACAATAATCAAGGCATGGCATAATCACAAGTAGGATGTTCATCATTGCATGCAATCTTATTTGTAAACAAAAATTGATTTCGCAATTGGGATCAACGTGATCAAAGAATAGTGATGACTTGCCTTGCTCAAGGTCTTGTGGGTCTCGGCCTTCACCCGGATCCGCGGCTCCTTCGGTCTCTATAATTACGTGCGAAAGAACAATTTGAATTCAATTAGAATTCAAGCGAAATCCAAATAATGACCGAAGCGAAAAACGAGCGCGAGAGGCGAATTCCATATTTGGCTATATTATTCGCGAAGTGGAATTGTTCTTCTTCACAAGATATTTTGTGTTTCCTAAGAAATTTCGTGATTTGAAATTACGTCCTAGACTTCATCTAATTATTTAGTCTTTTAATTACATCTAAATTACTACCGCGAAATTGATTCATTATGGAGGTAGAAAAATAATCGATAATAATCTATAAGAATCCATCTAATTGTTTAGTTCTTAAATACTTAACCCTATAATCAAATTCTAGTACTTAGGTATTTAAATAATAAGAATTCATCTAACTATATTTTCATTGATCTTATAATTAAATACTAGTACTTTAGGTATTTAAATAGTAAGAATTCATCTAACTATATTTTTATTAATCCCATAATTAATTTCTAGTATTTTTAAATATTTTGAAACTCCCCCTAATTTTTCCCTTTCTTTTCTCTCTTTCTCTTTTCTTTTCTTTTCTTTTCTCTCTCTCCCTCTTTTCTTTTCTTTTCCTTTCTCTCTCTTTCTTTTCTTTTTTTTTCTTCTTTTCCCTCGGCTCCTCCCTTCCTCGGTTCCTTTCTCCCTCTCTCTCTCGGCTCCTTGCCCACCCGGCGGCGGCGGCAGTGGACGCGAGGGGAGGGCGGCGGCTTACCGACGGCGGTGGCAACGACGACGGCGGTGGCGACGACGACGGCGGTGGCGACGACGACGGTGACGGCGGCGCAAGGCGACGGCGACGCCCGGCGCGGCACACGGTGTGGCGCGGCGGCACCGAGGGCGGTGGCGCGGCGGCACGATGGTGGTGGCGCGACGGCACGGGAACGGCGACGCGGTGGAGAGGAAAAAGAGGAGGAAGAGGGGAATGCAGTGGGGAATAATGGAGAGGGGTGGGGGATTTTTATAGGGGAGAGGGGAAAGGGGGAGAGAAGGAGGAGGGTGTGATGCAACGGCGGCGCGGGGCGCGAGGCGGCGATAGGACGCGCGCGGCGACGGGGACGGCGACGGCGCGGCAGCAGTGGCGCGCGGCTCGGGGCGGGATGCGATGGTGACGGCGACGCGACAGCGACGGCGACGGCGCGCGGCGCGCGGCGCGGCAGATGGCAGCGGCGCGGGGCGCGAGGCGTGACGGCAACGGACAAGCGGCGCGGCGCGGGGCGCGAGGCGCGAGTGCGCGGCGTTAGGCGACTCCACGGCGGAGCGGTGCAGCAGTGGCGCGGGGTGCGAGGCGCGACGGCGACGGACGAGCGGCGCGGCGCGAGGCGACGCGACGGCGGCGCGGCGTAGCAGCGGCGATGGCGACGGCGCGCGGTGACGCGACGGCGCTATGGGACGGCGACGCGACGGCGACGGGACAGCGCGCGGCGTGGGGCGCGAGATACGACGGCGACGGCCGAGCGGCGCATGGCGCGGCGGCGATAGCGGCACGGCGGCAGGCGGCTGCCGGTGACGGCACGGGACGGCCGACGGCGACGGCGCGACAGCGGCGGGCATTGCGGGGCGCAAGGCGCGCGGTAGGGGAGGGGTTAGCGCTAGGGAACGCGATCGAGCACCTAAGGGGCAATGAATAGTAACTTTTTCCTATTTTCCAATTTGGTTGATTTTCCTATTTTTAAACCTTGCCTAAATACTCCTAATCTTTGCACAGATTGAGATTACACAATATTTGTTTTGCTCTAACCTAGTTTATCACTACTCATATTTTATTTTATTATTTTTAATTTATCCGAATTTAATTAGGGTTAATCTTATTCCATTACTTTTAAATTTAATTGATACAAATATGGTTGTAATAACATTTTACTCATTTCTACCCTCACCGAATCTTATTTTAAATTGCGCTTTAATTATTTACCTTGTCAATTCATTTTTAGGGTTTTATTTCTAATTAATTATTCCATTAGTCGTGATTTATAAACTCCGAAATCAAAATCCAATAAAATAATCGAATAACATCGGCATGATGCAATTTCTTCAAAAAGTTTTTGAAGGCCCATATTTTGGGGTTTAGATTTTTTTGTCGGTCCAATTTTTAGGGTGTTACAGGAAGTAATAAATATTCCTTCTTTATTGTTCCTGACTTTTTCAGTGTATGATTGATCGATCATTTATTTTTCCAATTGACCAGGCCCTCAATCATACATCATGCACATCTGCAATTGATCGGTGATATTTACCGATATATACGTCTTGGTCAGCCAAGTTTATCTAAAGAAATGGATGTGAAAAATACACAATATATGCTTTGAGGTGGCTCTCTCTCTCTCTCTCTCTCTATATATATATATATATATATATATATATATATATATATATACTCAGACCGTACTTTGTTAAGAGAGCAACTCAGGCATCGTTCAAGGGGACTCATTTTAGATCAGTTCGTGGCGGGAGGTACGTACGTAGAGAACATCCTATTGAAATTTATGTTATGTGTTTGAATGTTCAGTGGAATCATAATATCCACATAATAACAAAGCTAAAGGAATACCGTAAATCGACATATGGCTATACTTCTTTTACTTATTACAGATATTTCATCTATAATTTCAATTAATTATTTATTCCAGCGTACTTCTGTGATTTGTAATAAATTTAACTGACATTATTTTTTTACAATGATATGTGACTAATTAAAGGTGCGTAGTCTTGCACTTATTGTTTTATTTGGTGCACTGCTATTAATTGGTTTGCTGTGAGAACAATTGTACATTTGGTATCAGTGTAATTGTATGCTTCATCAATTATATGAATATAGAACCATCGAAAATGCTGAAATTGCAAGGATATGCCACGGGATTGGAGCTTATCTTGCAAATGCCACCTCAGAATTTTCTTGACGGTGTTGCTAGTTTTCATTTCTAAATATAAAAAAAGATGAGAATAATACTTAATTATATAGGTATAGTTTTATTTACATCATGTTTCGAAACTGTGACGTTCACCACACGAAAATTCATTCACTGGTGGAGAAATGATTTGTACTCCCGGTTGATAACCCTCCGTAGTCCCGGTTTTTCAACTGGGATTATGAATCCGGGTCTAAAGATCGCTATCTTTAGTCCTGGTTCAAATATCCGGGACTAAAGATCGATCTTTAGTCCTGGTTGATAACACTAACCGGGACTAAATATGCAACCATCTTTAGTCCCGGTTGATGTTACCAACGGGACTAGTTTTTTTTTTTCATTTTTTCCTCCTTTGATTTTACTAGTTTTTTTTTTTCATTTTTTCCTCCTTTGATTTTTCTATTTTTCCTCCTTCCATATTGATTCACAGCACATATCACAAATTCATCAACAACATTACAAATTCATTGATAGATCATCACAAATTCATTCACAACACAACATCACAAATTTATTCACAGCACATCATCACAAATTTATTCACAAAAATATTCACAAACACATTCACAAATCAACAACATCCACAAATCATCAAACAAATTAAGAAAAATTTAAATAAATCCTCCCATTCCACCGCCGGCTAGCCACCCATCCCGCCGGCCTGCACCGGGCCGCCGCCGGTCGGCCTCCATCCAGCCGCGCCCCGCCGGAGATGAGGGGAGGAGTGGGAAAGGGGAGGAGGAGATGGGTTGAGAGAAGAAGGGGATGGAGAGATCCATCCCGCCGCCCCACCCCGGGCCGCCGCTAGCTGGCCTCCATCCCGCCGCCCCGCCCCGGGGCGCTGCCGGCCGGCCTTCATCCAGTCGCCGCGCCGGAGGGGAGTTGAGGAGTGGGAGAGGGGAGGGAGGAGAGGGGAGGAGGAGATGGGTTGAGAGAAGAAGGAAGGGGATGGAGAGATTTTCCTGGAAGTGTTCGATCAGGAAAGGAGGAGGAGAGAAGAAGATAAGATGGAGGATGGTTGGATGGGAGAGGAGAAAATGATGAAAGATGACTTGCATGCGCGCACATAGAAATCTTACCAACCGGGACTAAAGATCCTCGGGATCTTTAGTACCGATTGGTGCTAGCAATCGGGACTAAAGTTCCGAGGGGGAGGGGGGGGCTGACAGCCCCTGACATGTGAACCGGGTCTAAAGATCATATAGTCCCGTTGGGCTTATAAACCGGGACTAAAATTTATTTTTAGTCTTGGTTTTTATTGGAACCGGGACTATTGTAGAATTTGGTCGACCGACCAAAGATGGTTTCTCCAGTAGTGATTTGTCACCGTGCGTCTCTAATCATGTTTTATGGAGAAAACATTTTTTTTTCATTGATCTGGCGACAATCCTTCTTTCATAATTGTGTTTATGTCGCTCATTTTCATCACTATCAAGCCTACAAAACGTCATAATACTAAACTTTGATGAATATACAGTTGCCATGTAGGACATAAAACATTATAAAATTTTAGTACAGTGTGACGTGGAACTGACATGGCAATGTTCATTGTGACAATTTGATCCATCATAAAATATCATGTGGCATATCAAAGACCATGAGTGAGTAATCTAAATATTGGCTAAGCCCATTCAGATTTAGGCATGGCCGGCCATCTAAGGCGTAATAATTTACACATTATTTTCAACCCATTATACTATATTTATTTACATTAGTACCAAATAACAAGTTGAACGACAAGACCATTTGGAAAGCCCATATGGGCTCAATGGCAACCCATATAATACAAAGATTATATCTTCACTTCTAAAAGTTACGCTCCCAATTTAATGATCACATGAATAGTACACATCGGTTGCTGTACGTTCAGATCTCCCCCCTTAATTAGTAACTTGAGGCTGGGTACTTATTAATAGTGAGCGAAGTACCATTATTTGGAACTAACTTTTAGAAGTGAAGATTATATAAATTGGGAGTATTATTAGCTTTGCAACACGGCATCAGCGAAATGACAGCAATATTAGTTTTATCAAGGCGAAATCGTACAAGTTATTGGGCTATCTATTTGTAAAGTGAATTATCTTTTATTATCTACCAGTCACTTTTTAACTTCTAAATCAACAATGTTTTCATGCCAAACTTTTTTTTAGGATGAGACACATACTGTGTTATAACTTTTTATTTGTTTTTTAAAAAATACACTTCAGTGTAGATCTTACGAACAACAACAACTTATATTGTACACATGTGTAAAAATATATTTAGATTAATCCAGTAGAAGTATGGTAATGAAAACTAAAAGTCACACTAAATGTGTAGAATTGTAGTTTTTGGGATTGTGCAAGTTCAGTTGTGGGGGTTAAGAAAAAAATTGACACAATTAATTGACAAATAGAGTGATTGCGATGTGCTTGCCATCTGCAGTGCAAGCATGCTGATGCATACGCCAATATCTAACTGATGATCTGCATGCTGGACCAATAAATTCCAGGTCAGCCACAGAAGCTGGCAGCAGTAGTGCTATAGAGTATAGACATGGCACAAGAAAATGTGGAGATAACCTGCTTCATCAAAAATGTGGACAACAGGTTCCGCCTCGCCCCACCAAAAGCAGACCTATTCACACCGTTGTACGTCTCCATCGGCCCGTACCACATGAACAGTGATCTCCCGACGGGGAAGGAGGAGAAGGAAAGAAACCTCGACAAAATCCTGCAGGATCAGGTGACGCGAGGCGGCGCAGCAAGCAACAGTTCGGCGGTTAAGAACGGCTGGCTTACCCTGCTGAATAATCATATGAGTGACGCGTTACGCTACTACGGGTGGAATCCTGACTTGTTAACTCCGACACGGAAGGATGAATTCCTGAACATGTTACTTGAGGACGGATGCTACATCCTATCCAAGTTCGTAGTTCCAACAATCGGCATTGCACGAGGAAGCTGGCAACGACAACACGTGCCACCCCAGCACCTAGAACACGACATCATCTACCTCGTTGAGAATCAGATACCGTTCTTTATCCTGGAGAAAATCAACGAAATAACTGGTTTGATCCCTACTGCTGGCGGCTCGCAGCTGGTACGCCATTTTTGTTCATACATCGCAGAGTATATGCTCAAGTTACGCGGTTACGCGGTAGGCCGGCGATCGGTATGTGGAGATGCAGATGCCGACTCCCAGTCATCTTCTGCACTTGCTTCACATACTCTTGAACGGACGACCTCAGGCGGTCGAGCAGACATTGGCAACAGATGGGCAGGATTCCACAGCGATCCAGATTACACGTTTCCTGCGTTGGCGCCCCGCCAAGCAGTATGACATGGTTTGTGTGAATCTCACCGGCGTCGACCTGATCTCAATCTTAAAGGGCTGCCACGATGGAAAATGCAAGGCACGCTCCATCCTCGACGTGGAGCCCCGACGCTGCGGCATAGGGCTCGAATTCCCCAGCCTGTACCTTGATAGCGAGACGTTCTGCATGCTTCGCAACCTGATCGTGCTGGAGCAGCAGAACGCCAATACGCTCCAGCAATATCGCGTCACGGCATACTGCACGCTCATGTCCCAGCTGGCAAGCACGGCGGAAGACGTCCAACTGCTGTCGGCGAACCGTGTAGCCGACCACCTCATGGTCCATGCAGATTGCGCCAAGCAATTAACTGATCTCTGCAATGGGATCATCTTCGACATCGACAACCCGACCCTCAACTACCTGCGGGATGAATGCGTGATGCTGGAGAGGCGTTGCCGGAGTCGTCCTTTCAAATGGATGGCGTGGATGCGGCGCAAGTACTTCCGCAACCCCTGCATCGCCGTCGGCTCTGTGATTGCCATCATCATCACCGCGTTCGCCGTGCTGCAGGCGGTCTATACGGTCCTAAAGCTCAAGGGAAAAGTGAAATAATCTTCTAGTACTAATAAATACGCTTGTGTATAAAGTGCTTGTATGCCCGTTGGGGCTTTTTAATTACCTAATCGTGCGATATGGAACACCAATGTACGTATATATAGCCATATATATAGGCATGAATAAGTGTGATTTCAATGTTTGCCCTATATTGTAATATTACATTTTATACTTATACTACCACTATGAGTATGGACGGTTTGTAATAATTCCCTAATTTTTACACGTACTTTGGATCATAATTCACTCGTAAAAAATATTTTAGCAAATGGATATTATACTATAAAACTATTTTTGTATATACACCTTTATTTTTACATGCCAGCCAAAACAAGATCCGCTCGTGAAATTACGGAGGGAGTATGCACAGTCAAGACCCGTCTGTAATTTTCCACATGTAACTGTTTTACGAGAGCCGATATATATACATTAATTTGTTAAAGTGTCTAATGCCTGAGAAGTATAGATGGCCATCTGGGCGGCATGGCCCGACCAACACACCGGCCATGCCGTGCTGGCCCACGTGCTAAAGCATCGGTCTAGGCACAGCCCAATACGACTCGGGCCATGCCGGGCCAGCCCGAAGGCACGATAGCCTATCATGCTTCTTCATTAAAAATAAGTCTAATTTTAATCCCTCATTTCTTTGGGCTGCCATGTCTGCATGATTGTGACAAGTCTATTTTGTATTCCTTCTCTCTTGGGCCGTGAATTGGCTGCATTAAGTCTAATTTTAGTCCCCTAAACTATTTATCTTCCCTCCTCATTGGATCAAGCCGTGCCAGGCCAGCCCACCGTGCCAAGGCATCAGCCCAGGCACGGCCCAGCTGTCGGGTCGGGCCGGCCCGGGCACGACCCCAATCAAACCGTGCCTGTTAAAACGGTTCCCATATGCGGCTACGTTATGAGAACTAATTTCGTGATCATTAAACACCATTTAGAGCACTAACGTTCGAAAATAAAATGGATAAAACAACGTTCGGACCGTCGATTTACTTTAGACTTCAAGAGTTTTGTCGTTTCTTGCATATTTTGGAGGTACTTATCAAACCGAGGAGATAACACTATTGGAGAAACCAATTTTAGTCGGTTGCCAAAAATCACAATAGCCCCGGTTCATAAAAAAATGGAGTAAAAAACAATTTTAGTCCCGATTTATAAGTAAACAGGACTATGTAATCTTACCAACCGGGACTAAAGATCATACCATGTCAGAGGATATCAAGGCATCGGGCATGTTACCAACCGGAACTAAAGATCCCAACGTTAGCCCCAGTTGGTGTTACAAACCATGACTAAAGTTCATTTTGATCTTTAGTTCCGGTTTGTATCACCACCAGAGCTAAAGTTGGGATCCTTTATATTGGTCTTCTTTCACCTCTAGCCTGAGCCATGCTTCAAAAGTTCAAGAGGAGTAGGGGAGGTGCTGCCAAAACTTTTTGTGAATTTGTTTTGCTGATAATATACAAATCGGAGGGATTTAAAAGGTTAGCAACTTCATCCTCTAATGTTTTTTTCTTAGCATATTACATTTCGATATATGTTTTGTTTACATTATTGCCTCTAAAAACGCTGATGAAAAATGATGAGAGAAAAAAATTGTTTAGGGAAGAAAGAGTATAGAAATTTTGTTTATTTAAAATTTTATAAAAAGGTGATAAAAGAGATGGCAAAGAAAAAATATAGATAATTAAGATAAAAAATAGAAAACTAAGTTAATTTAAAATTAAAATAAGTACAACACATTAAATATTTGTTTAAAACTTTAAAAATAATTAAAACCAGACTAATATGAGGGATTATTGTGTAATTATTGTACGAACAATTATATATAATTATTGTATGATTATTTACTTGGTTTGACCTTCGTGGATTTTTTTTATGATTTTTGTGTATTTCATGTAGATGGATTGGCAATGGATGTACACCGCGGACCAACGGTCGAAAGAATTTGTTGACGGCGTGCATTATTTTTTAAGTGTGGCCGATGCTAACAAGTATAAGGGTTTTATGTGTTGTCCATACAATAAGTGCAAAAACCAGAAGGAGTATTCTACATTAAGAACTATTAATTTCCACTTGTTTCAGTCGGGGTTCATGCTTAGCTATAATTGTTAGACCTCACACGGAGAGCTAGGGGTTCAAATAGAAAAAGATGAAGTAGAAGATAAAAACATTCCGGACTGGGCTCAGTACGGTGGATTTGAAGAAAATACAACTGGCGAGGCAGGCGGGGCTGTTAAAGATAACGACGGTGCAGATGATTTTGATCAGATGTTGCGGGACGTAAGGGAGGACTGCAAAAGTACAAAGGAGGTCAAGATGTCGTTGTACCAAGGTTGCGAATAGGGGCACAAAAAGTTGGGTACTACTCTGGAATTTTTGGCACCACATTCTCGGTGTGAACTAGAGAGGTGGCTTCTTGAGAGGTTACATCCACTAGTGCCATCATCGTGGCCTCATCCTCGGTATAGGCCAAGGGGGTGAGATCAGGGCTGGGGCAAAGATAGGAATGACAATGGATCCAACTTGGACCACGGTGAAGGCTGGCTGGGTTGGATCTCCCAGGCCAGGTTGGTCGTAGAAGCCAATTACACAGTTTTTGGGTGTACTCGGTGAGATCTATTCAGCGAATAGGACACTGGCTTCCTCCGGATTTGTTCTGGATTTGGCTTTGGCTACGGCCTGTAATTCGATGCCCCTCACTAGATGAGAGAGCCTTGTATTTGTAGTGCTGATCATCTTTCCCGACTAGGACTCTAGCACCTTCTTTTCTACGAAGATAATTTCCTTCTTTATTCACCATATTTCCTTAATAAAAGGATACCTTCTCATATACTATCAGGTATATGGTATTGTCATATTCCACTAATCCACGTATTGGAGGTATGCCTTATCCTTAACACTGACACAATCCTAGTTCGACAGTTGAGCGAGAAGTGTTGTAGATGCACTTTGTAAGCATATATTGATGCAATTAAGTTAATCGATCTACTTTCAAGAGTTTCACTGGTTTGTGTTTTTCTTGATCCTGACGATCTAACCCGAGTAAAATGGACGATTAGACCGGCGGCGACAACGCGACGACGGCAACAAGCAGGCAAGGTGACCGATGGGCAGTCTAACCGGCAGGTAGGCGACGATCTGACCAGCGGTAGGGCATAGGTCAGACCGGCGGCGGCATTGGTTTGGCCGGTGCAACTTCGTTAAGTTTGAGGATAATCTTTTCATTCCTCAAAAAGATTTGATTTTTTGATGTTACTATCATTCACGTCCCCTCTCGTAGGTTTGATTCTTGTATTCAATCCTACACTATTAATCGAACTTTGTGTTTTATTGTATACAAACGTGCTGTAGTTAATTAAACATCACTTAGAGACAATTTATTATAACTAGATAGTACCCCACGCGTTGCTGCGGATATAATAAAGAACTTTCAAACATGTAATATGAGCATAACATTTGAGAAGGAAAAAGATAAAAAACTACTTACCATATAATTGATGGAGTATATACAGTGGTAATTATTGTAGGATCGAAACACAATAACTAAGCTAACAGGAGGGGGGTGAATGGTTGGTATACCCAAAAACCGAAAACTTTTAGCGGAAATAAATGTTACCCTCGAATTCGACGGATTGCGATCTGACCGAAGTAGTTGCGCCGGTCTGACCGCCTGATGAAAGTCGGTCTGACCGAGATCGAACTCCGATCGAACCGCCGAGATCGCCTGCCGCCGACTCCTGTCGCCGCCGGTCTGACCGCCGGTGCGCCGCCGGTCTGACCGTCGAAACTCGGTGAAATACAAATCGAAGAACTCTTAAAGTAGATGACGACTTTATTGATTCTCTCTGTGTTTACAAAGTGGACCAACAACACTCCTTACAAAAATTTCGACTAAACTCGAAACCCTAACTCAAAACTCAACTCGATTGCTCTCAAAAGCGATACCGGGAAGCCTCACGCTCCCCCTCTATTTATACCCGAGGTAGGCAGTCTAAAGCCATGAACCAAACTCATACTAAGAGTCCTAAACACCTTAGGAAACCCTCTAGTACAAGAAAGAAACTTTACATAACCAATCGTACCAAATTTGGACTCCTTCCAAATTCGACTCCGCATCCCATACGCACACAATACCTCCATCGTATGCCATATATATGGAATCTCCATCAACCACGTGCATCAACTCTAGTCTTAGTATCCCTCATGATCTCTGACCACCACGGACTTCGTCTTATTCCCAAGCCGACTCCCAGTCCATCACCGCAAATACTCTCCCGAGGCATCGAGTCACCTACACATGAAATAAACAAAGAAACCATATTCCGAGACTAAGCTATCTCCAACTTGACTAATTAGCAGCAAATAACAGTATTACATACGTATAGTATCCATCTAGAAGCCATAATCATGAAATAATCATGGATATCCAAACAAACAACCCGAAACCGAAACCGACACAGCGTCGGCCGGTCAGACCGCGGGCTGCGACGGTCTGACCACGCAATACACGCCGGTCTGACCAACCGCACCGACCCAGTCTGACCGGTCCACATGAAATAATGAACCTGCAATTCACCTGTAAATCCAATCATCTCCAAAACCACTTCGTGAATAAATTCCAAATAACAAAACCAATAATCTCCAATGACAATTGTTCATCACAGAATAATAATCAAAAACACCTTTGATTTTACAATTATAACTAAATATTACATGATGGAGTATCCACTCATGTAGCAGTGGTTGGCCAATGCAACTAACATAATTACAACTCAAATATATGGCTGTTGACGGCCGGATAGAGCAAGTATTAATAAACAAAATTGAAGGCCACTAAACATTACTGGAAAATGAAAACAATACACCATCAATAAAATTACCCAAAATTATGTACTATGTGTTTATGAACAGAGCATGTATGAAAAATTACAGTAGAAAAGCAAGTAAGGTGTCATACTGTTGTCCTCGTTAACTTGATAGCCTTTATTCAGCATGACGTTTTTCCTAGTACCACTTCCCTCGCTGACCCATTTATCACAGTTTTGGAAATTCTGTAGTTAATCTTGCAAATGAATGCCAATCGATTCATGAATAAGGTGCTAGAATATCATATATTATTGTGGTAAGAAAAGTTTATTTAACTGGAAGTAGCAATTATTATGCATATCTTATCGTATAAATATGCGATGAACATTACGAGTGCATTCGTAGTTGCATAGCTGATCAGGAATGCAGTCAAGTCATGTAGCAAACCTAGCTGATGAGTGATGACTACTTTACAATTACAAAACTGATAATAACCATAACTGAAACATCAATATTTTATATTTAAACATCTACAAATATAGTCCAATTATCACTGATAGCAAGGAAATCATAACTAAGGTGTCAAACTATTATATAATAATGGTAGAAAATTTTCATGCTTGAGTAAGATATGGGAAGTTGGGAAAAGGATTATTACCTCGTATATATATATAATTAAGTACTCATCCTTGATTAACTCTTTGGAGTGATTTTAGCTTTCAGAAAACTCCAAAAATATTTATATCACCAAGCTAATTCAATAGTGACAAATGATACTTAAAAACATATCTAGAGTATACATGATCAGAAAATAAAATGAACTTTGAGACGGAAGACAACCTAATCTATTTAAGAGCAAACATGCGTGTCTGTGTGTAGAGAATCTAACATCATTTTTTATGAGGACCTTATGAAAAGTGAGAAAAACACATTAACGACATAGATGTACCGACATATATATAACTTCACCAGTTAAAGACCATAATTAAAATACCAAAAGAAGAAAGCTCCATCCGCTTAGCAGCCCATATGATTGTTACTCAGCTCGATGAGTTAATTATATTCTTCTTAGATCTGTTCGGGTGACAAATCAACCGGTAGATGCACATTTGCCACATCTTCAACCACTTAAGAATGAGAAGTGGTCTATAATTCAGGATAAATAAAGAATATGAATCAACTAAATCAGTAACCAAGAACATGAAACCTGGAAAAAAAAAAGGATACAGCAACAATAAAATTTGCTAAGACAATCAAACTGAGCAAATAATGATACTATATACTGACTATAGATCATGATGCAAAAATGAATTAAATAATAACTAATGCGTACAAATTGAAATGGTGTGCGAACAGATCTATCGGTGGGTATCAGATTTACTGAACATAAGGAAAGGGAAAATCGGTAGGTAACCTGTGTTAGATCATTGAAGTAATTGGAGAGGATGACCAAGTGAGGGGTGCATATGCATCCAGCAAGCAGAGTTGCAAGAACGGTAGTAAAACGCCAGCAGCCTGGTAGAGTGGTAGATCGACGAATAAGCAAGATGATAAATTGGATAGAAATGCATAACTGATAAAGGAATAAGAGGAGAAGAAAACGCATTAAGCCATTAATGGATTTACTTTATAACAGCCATGAAGTGTTTTCCTCGGTGGTTGTCGAAGGTTTCCATTCATCACGGCAACCTAAAGAGGCGAACAACCTTAGACATGGGAGAGGAAGGGGAAGCGGCGCACGAGCCGCCATGGGGGCGACGGGAGGGGAAGCGCCACACCCTCATCCTGCCTCTGTGTGGCACGGGAGGCGGATGACATGCCAGCGCCCATACGGGCAAGCACGATGCGGGAGATGGAGAGGATGTGACGCGGCGAGATTGATGCGGTGGGGGCGGCGGAGCGAGATCCGGAAGAGGGAGTCGATGCGGGAGAGGAGAGGAGCGATGCGGGAGAGAGGGGTCGATGCGCGTGGGGCCGGCGAAGCAGCGAGATGTGGGAGAGGAGAGGAGCGATGCGAGAGGGGTCGATCGCTTGATTGAGATCGAAGGGTGGGGACAAAATGGGGTGACGTGGAAGCACGAGGAAGAAGAGAATTCTAATAGTGGGGATGATTTGTACAGGTATATAGTATAAGATGATGAGATACACGCACCGCGTTACATTGTATGATAGTAAAGCATACATGGATATTGTATATGTATACAGATAATATGTATATAGAACAACATCTGTATATAGAACAGATCGATATTGTATACGATAGTAACGCATACATGAATATTCTATATGTATACAGATAACGCATGCATGGATATTGTATATTTATTCTAGCGCACCCGCAACAGCGGCCATGTGCTTGTATATATGTATTTATACGCTCGCACGTACCTAAGTACGTACGCTATACATATGCAATCTGAGATCGCTGCGCCACACATTATGTACGGTTGGATTAATACATTTATTGTAATATATCTGTCTGATACCGCCATCTGTCTGATGATCACTTCCATGCGTACCGCTTCCTCACGCGCTACATATGTAGATAGAGTTTAAGAGTGGAATCGCCTGTGTAATTAGTTAAACAAAAACAGCACTGTAAACTATTGCAAACGTGGTTCACTTAATTTACTAATTAGGGCTTGAGAGCATTTATATATTTGTTTTCTTTCTGTTTATACAAATCGTATTCTAAGCTGAAAATTCTTAGAGACAGAGATAACACCATTATCAAAGTTCTAAAATATTTTTTGAAGTTTGATGAAAAATTCTAAAAAAAAAATATTCCAGACATAAGTTAATGAGAAAATTCAAAGAAACGCCATTGACAAGCGTCCAATTTCAAGAAATGCATCGACAGTGCAAGTTCCATGAAATGTCATCGTAAGAGTAACTTGGTCCAAAAAATGTCATCGCCATTAGGGTTCCGTTAGCAACCCTCCATTAAGTGCTATAAGATACACAGTGTATTTAATGGCGCGGGATAGACGGAACCCTAACAACAATAGCGTTTCTGGAACAAAATCACTTGTACGATGATATTTCGAGGAACTTACACTTATCGGCGGTATTTCTTAGAGTTGGGCACTTGTGAATGGCATTTCTTAGATTTTCTCTAAGTTCAAATGCATTCATCTATCATCCTATTAAATTTCAGTGTAAAATACAACTTACATAGAGGAACACAAAAAGGAGAAATACCATTATGGAGCAATGTAAAAATAAATAAATAACATATATAAGCCAAAAATAAATAAATAGCTGTTAAATGCCCGATGAAATAGTTAAGAGAGTAAATTGACTTTTCTTTTCATTAATCAATTTCAATCTATTCTGTTTGGAGCCTCAGTCATATATAGTATTTGATCGAAAATTAGTGTTTTACAAATTTTGTTATTGAAAACTGAAAACTTGAAATTAATGAAAACAGAATTGTCCTTGAACTCAATTATAATATTTTTTTATATTTTAATAATTAAAATGTGAGTTTATAAATACCAAAAAATATTAATTGTTTAAAAATACGTGGCAAGTGTGGATGACCGGATTAGTGGTTAATATACCTATTTGCGTGGTGGCGGGAATTAGACACGCTTATCTTGATCCCTGGGATCACCCCATATTGCTCCGCGTGCCCGTGGCGCTGAAGTGTCAAAGTGCAAGTATATACAAATTACAAATCATTAGTCTAGATATATATGTATGTCTGATCTGTTGGTTTGCAGTACTCATGCACGGTGGCCTGAACCCCTATCCCGTGGCTGTCCTTCAGTACTGTTTGGCTGCTTCACATTACCCCAATCGGGAGCCCCTTTAATTATAAAAAAGAAAACATCGTCAGATGTAATATATCTGAGAAGATGCCTTAATTTAAAAACTATGTTCCTTGATCTGTTATTAATCAACAAGAAAGTGTGAGAAATAGTCCAAATCTTTATAAGAATTTTTAATTAAGATGATATGGGAAGTTACGAGAACATGTTAGAATTAGTAGTTTGGAAGATGACCTAATTTGTCGCCAAGGAAAGAAAGGGGAGTTTCTACCAGGTCAATATGTACAGATTGCCGATCGACTTTTAGGGGTGTTATAGACACGAAGGCAAAAAAATATCTGCAGGAGCAAAATCCCCCTCAAGATGAAACAGTTCCTGTTTATGGTGTATAGCGATAAAATCCAAAGTGCTATCCAGCTTAAGAGAAAGTGGACGGCATCAGAGAAGTGCAAGATGCATGTCTTTTTTTTTTTTAAGATAATGGATTAAACCGGCCTTTACACCTAAAGAATGTACACAGCCTACGATGCATGTCTGCTCAACCTGAAACTTCTAATAATATCCTGTTTGCTTGCCCTATAGCAATTGTTGTTTTGGAGTGTGATCAGGGGTGTGTGATGGTGCGGGAGTAGTCCTGATAATTTAGAGGAGTTTTAGCAGATAAACAAAATTGAAAATCTTAGTGAAAAGAAACTGAATTTGTGTGTGGTGGTGCTAGCGGCTGTGGAAAGGGTTCTGTGGATTGGAAGGAATGATGATGTGTTTGCAAACATAGATAAAATCTCCATTGCAGGTTATAGACAAATCTTTAGCTCTTTTGCAGAGCTGAAAGGTGCTGCAGAGAGGACGAGATCAAGAAATGCTGACAAAGCTACGACCAGCCAGTTGCACCTAAAAACCTAAGCTGATAGGGAAAGAAAAAGGCGGGCAATTCACTTTATACACTCCAACACTCCCCCTCACGCGAGACCCCCTCAAGTCTCAAGCGTGGAATATTGGAGTGGGCTGCAATTATTTTATTTAATTGCGCGCCAGCCAGGATTCTAACTCGAGACCTCTGGCTCTGATACCATATTAAGTTGCATGCACCAGCCAGTCGCACCTAAAAGCCTAAGCTGATAGGGAAAGACGGGTAATTCACTTTATACACTCCAACACCCTTCAATAGTTTTTTTTTCTTTTTTTCTTAAAACCCCTTTTATCTCAAAGCTGGGATTCCCAGCGGTAGGATGTTTTAAGTATTTCTTTTACCTGTTGGCACAATGGTTTTGCAAGACTTATGTTTCCTGGGCTTTCTCAGTAAAGCTGGAATTCCCAGCGGTAGGATGTTTTAAGTCGAGGAGGACCGGAGGGCGAAGCTCAAGACGGTGAACAGTACGATGAAGTCGCGCAGGAGGAATCTGGAATTGTGTCTACCTCTTTTGAGTTCTTTTGAGTCTTCTGCGTGTTCTGGTAAGTAATTATCTGTGGCATAAGACTTGGTGTTTGTTAGGGCGTTGGTTTAATGGCTGTTTGTTGTGTTTGGCAAGCCGGAAACCCCAGCATTTCTCATGTATCGAACTCCTGTTATGCTTTGATCAGTAAAGCTGCGCGGAAAGCCTTAATTTGATCTAAAAAAGAAAATCCTCGCATCAGCTGGACGAAATTTAAGCCTAGTAATAATTTAATTACCTTGTGTAATGGGAGCGCCTTGAGTCCTGGGATCTCCCCGGATTAAACCCGCTGCCGCTGTAGTGCAGTGCATGCGTAATTACAACACAGAGGAATTTAACTTCATATAACCATATCATACGCATACATATACATATCTAATTAAAAATGCTCAATCTGTGTGCACTGTACAGTACTCACGTTCTCTGCTGATGGGCTGATGCAGTAAAGACGGCCCACCATATCCTACAAACAGAGAGTAATTAATTAAAGGAAAAAGTCCACATTGAGTCCCTTAATATAGGCTGAATTCGATTCGTACCACTAAATCACAAAACCGGGTATAATAACTCTCCTAATTATTAAAACCAGTGCAAAGAGACTCCTAAGTAAGTATGAAAGATGGTATTCCATGACATGGCATGTTGACCACGATAAAAAATGCAGAGTCAGAAAAAAAATATAGAAATATTATGTGGAGACCACATGTCATCCTTAGTACTACCCCTTCTTCCTCCTTGCTCCCTCTCCCATATCTCTCTTCCCCATCGACCTCGATCTTAGCTGCCCGTCCGTGGAGAAGGGAGGAAGGCAGCGGTGGGCTGGCGACCGGCGAGACTCCTCGGGCTCAAGCTACAAGAGCGACGTGCACACGACGGACCGAGGAAGGCGGCGGGGAAGACAGGGAGAGGTGGTGGAGGGCGAACCGGAAGAGGAGTCGACGGCGATGGAGTTGATCGATTCGGGTGGTGACGGCGTCGAGCAGCGTGACCCCCGGAGCTAGGCGAGGTCGACCTCAAGCTATGCGCCTGCTGCCACCGATGCTCGCTCGAACGCTCGCTCACATGGGAGCTCAACGAACTCAGTGCCGTAGAGAGGAAGGCGATCGAAGGACAAACACCTAGAAATTATTCACTAGAGACGACACAACAGAGCAAGCATGAGATCCAACCATCATCGATGGTGACATGTTGTGCATGACACCCGGCGATGGCAACCACGCTCGCCGATGAGAAGCAAAACCAACCGCAAATACGATTTGGCTTAATTGTTGCTTGCATTCTTTTGGATGTTATCCCAGCCCTTGCTGCTGAGGGAGTAGATGGTGATACTTCTGTATGTTGTCCTGCATGGGAGAGAAGGGAAGACCGGGAGGGGATCAAAGATGCGGGGCTTGTCTGCGGTGGAGACGGCGTGACATCGGAGGCGGACAGGACGAGGAGGTCCATGTTGCGGCCACTCCAGTAGCGGCGGAGTCGCAGTCGCAGGATCGCAGCACAAGGAAACGACTCACCACAAGGCACCGCCGCCATGCACTTGCCGATGCCGGAGAAGAAATAGAGGGGAGATGAAGAAAGGGCGCTGACATGTGGGCCATGTCTATTTTTTTATTTATTTAGTGGTTAGCTGCCACGTGGACTCCACATCGGCGAATACCACCCTCGCTGTAGTCTTGAGAGTCTTTTTCACCAGTTTTAATACTTAAAAGAGTTTTTATACCCGGTTTTATAGTTTAGGGATACAAATTAGATCCAACCTAAGAGGCGGAAACCCCAGCATTTCTCATGTATCGAACTCCTATTATGCTTTGATCAATAAAGCTGCGCGGAAAGCCTTTGATCTAATAAAGAGAATCCTCGCCTAAACTGGACGAAATTAAGCCTGGTAATAATTTAATTACCTTGTGCGCCTTGAGCCCTGGGATCTCCCCGTATTAAACCCGCTGCGGCTGTAGTGCATGCGTAATTACAACACAGAGGAATATTTAACTTCATATAATCATATCGTACGCATATATATACATATCTAATTAAAAATGCTCAATCTGTGTGCACTGTACAGTACTCACGTTCTCTGCTGATGGGCTGATGCACTGAAGACGGCCCACTATATCCTACAAACAGAGAGTAATTAATATAAACGTCATGAGTTGCCTTCTAACTCGAAGAATGATTGGGTCGGCAACGAGGAGGAACCCAGAAATACAAAGCCCAACTGCCTTAGTATAGGCCACAAGCCTAGCTATAGTGAGGAAGGGATTGTGGTCCGGTAGATATATTTGCTCAAAACATTGTTAGCATGTTATCGACTGGTTGATCTACTATATACTCACACTGGCTAAATGCCATGCTTTTGTATGAAGTATCGACAAAAGAAAATACGTCACAACATTGCTTCAATAAATAAAGCAAAATTTTGTCTTCTAATATATTAATTTCTTTACTTACGTTCTTATCACAACAATAACAACAATTCTCTATTTAATTCCCCCCTGTACTTCTTGATATCAGCCAATCATAATCATTTTCATTTAATTCCATGTACTTTTTATATATCCGTGCAAAAGAAATTATGGAGTATTATACTCACTTGTTAACTATATGCTGGCAGTATTATCTTGTGTCATTTTTATATTAAATTTGAAATTACTTTTCTTTCAAATAAAATTTGAAATTACTTGATAGGTGTAGCGCTCTAGTGCTCAGCCTATCAGCAGGCTAACTAGCTACACCCTTCAGGTTGATATTATTTCATTTTAGGCAAGATTGATGCCAAGCTTTAATTTCTAAACATTTATCTTATAAATCTGAAGAACTTAGAAGGTACTTCAACAAAATCATATATTTATTAATATTTTTACATATATTATAATAAATAAATTAATAGCGGTCAAATTTATTTTTTGGAGACCATGTATTTGTATAAAACAATAAGTATTGTTAACGTGGAGTAGTATATAGTCTGTATGGATCAGAACCTGCTTTTTTTTAGAAAAAAAATATAACATGATAATTTTAGCTTTTGTTGTCTCATAGATCACCATAGTTTGGTGGACGCATCCTAGAGGACCTTACGATGAAATAATTAGTAAAGATAAAAAAGAGAAATGTCCAGCTAAAGTTGTTTATGTGCTTGCTGTGCTTTTTTTTTTTTTTACATGGCGTAGCTAGGTAGGCAGGTAGCCAGTTGCTTTACCTTGCAAGCTGGCAGGCGAGCCTTGTGTCCTGGGATCACCCCATTTCATCCCTCCTGTGGCTGTGGTGTGTAATTAATGAGCAAACAAGAGATTAGATACAATAAAGAGATGTGCCCCTCCACTTCATATTATAAAATGTTTTAATTTTTTTCTATTCGTAAGTTTAACCAATTTTATAAAAAAAAACTATAGGAACATTTTCAACGCAAAACGAACATACTATCAGAGCTAATTTTTTGCTATAAATGTTACTAATTTTTCTATAAACTTGATCAGATTTTTTAAAAAAACACTAGATCTAGATAAAATTTAAAGTCAAAATGACTTACTCCATCCATCCAAAAGTCTAAAACCTATTTATTTTTTTATTTATCCAAAAGTGTAAGGTCTATTTGTAATCTCTAAGTGTTAAATTAAATTAGTGACCAGAACCAAGAAATCATCTTAGTACTTATTGATTGCGCATGCATGTGTACATACTGTACTGATTTTTTTATATGGTGGATAAGTTAATTACTTATTGTTCTTGGTGATAAAAGAATTATGTTTTAGACTTTCGGATGGAGGGAGTATAATATAAGTGAACTTCATAAAGTGTGGCATCGTATGAAAAATTAAGCATCAAATAGACTGCTTAGGTAGAACATACTATCCCACTATTTCTAAATCACATATGAAAAATTTATTAGATATGAAAAAAGACCAAAGTGCTCTTATTAAAGACAAACAGTATTGGAGGGTGGATAGATAAAAAGTATTGAAAGATAATAAAACGTCTCGACTCATGGACTAAGTAAATTTGATTGAAAGATAATTAAGAGTAAGTAAAATTATATAAATGAATTTTGCGGTAAATTTTTTATGTCACATTTGGTAGTTTTTTTTTTATGAAACTGATGGAGTATATAGGAAAAGGCACAACAAAATAGTGCACATGCACTCATTAGTCTTAACAAGCCACCAGTTTAACAAATGACAAAAAAGAAATTAATGAGGAACCGAGTCAATAATCAAGCTTATATATATCGTAATTATCCCCACAGTGCGCACCTTGATTGTTTTCTTCGGTGCCAGCATGTGGAGAACCAAGCGACCAGTAGCGTGATCCCATGCCTGTAGTTACTTAGCAATTAGCTAGCTTCGTTAGCGACAAGATCATGAGCTTGCAGTGGAGAGATCTAGCTTTTATGACCAGTACCGCACTCCATCTATCTACCAATGCAAGTATGGCGAATTTATAGTAGAGCCAGCACGGAGAGAGGAAGTAGTAGTACAGTTTGTGACGTGAACTAGTCGACGATATCGCACACATACAACCAAAGGTAGCCCAAGTTCTGGGTAACTCCATAATGCAGGAAAACAACAGAATGGTGCTCTCTCCGGTTAACGTTTAGCCAGCACGCACGTACGTCCACACATGCGCTCGATCGCGCGTAAGCCGATAAGGTGATCAATCGATCTGTTTACCATCCATGCATACTGGAGATCAGGCCTATGTCAACTTGTCAACGCTACTGTTCTTTCTGAAAAAGCGCAACTCCAACTTCCAAAATATCTAGTATTTTCTTTAGAAAAATAGAAATCCGTTTCTATCTGCAGGTCCGGTAATCTGGTTAATTTTGAGTTATTTTTTTAACTGTGGTATGAAGAACGCTTCTCCTCAGGCGCTCGGGCACAAGAGAAAACTCGGGCAGGCAGCAATACTACCTATTGCACACATGCACCCATGCATGCAAGTCCATATCTATATGTATATCTGACACGGACGCAAGCGTACAACAAACTTCAAAATATTATTTTCCCATATGACTTATTCAATCGATGATATTATTATACTGTTATATTCGTTACAATTAACTTCTCGCATGAGTATATTCTGATAAAAGTATTTTTTTTTTCAGTGGATCTGTTTATAATGTTGCACATGATGTTTGATCAATTCGAATTTTTTTTAATATTTCACCATGTCACTTGTAAATTTGTATGTGGTGTAATTTTACATATTTTAGCAAGTATTTTTTTGTGTTTTAGTCTGACATTTCGTTGTCGACGAGTGATACTCGCAGACCGGACGAGTTGAGTATTGGGGTATGTTGGAACTAGGATCTACGTAGTACGACATCAAGCAGATAAAAGATAAGGATTATACTAGTTCATGTCCCTTGTCAGGTAATAGCTCTAGTCCAGTTTATATGGGGTTGATGATGACGAGAACATATTACAAAGAAAGTAGACGAAACAGATGGTACCGACAAGGTCTCCCGGCGACTTGGCTCCGCGTACTCCGGCTTCGTAAACGATGGTGGGTGTGTTGGCGATGGAATTTGATGCCCTGTACCCCTCCCTGGGGGTCCTTTTATATCGTAGATCATCTTGACCCCAAGAAAGACCCGAAGATATCTGATCCGATACGGTGTAACAGAAATTATATCCCTTCCGAGTAGGACTTTTGGAAATCGCTTGACTCGTAGAGATATTTTCCATAATTTGGGATAAATTCCTAAAGGTGTACATGAAAACGATCCGTGTACACGAAGGTATACCTTATCGGTATATTTCATAAGTCGTAGGATAGAAGGTATGCCTTATCCGTAACCCTGACATTCGTGTGTAATATAAAAATATTAAACAAAATCAACTTATTCTAAATATAAAGGATGTTCCATATGATTTTTTTCAAGTTGTTTTGTGCCGTAGTTATCAGTGTTGCGCATTTAGTATTTTGTTAATGTTGTATCTCTATGAAACATTTTTAATTAAATTAAACCATTTAATCAAGTGATAAAACAACGCTTAATTTTTTATTATATATGTATATTTTGATATTTTTTATAAAAATATAATCACGTGAAATCTTGTTATGAATATTAATTTATAATAAATTAAAGATTGTAGTTGGATAGTACAATGGGTAGATAATTTAGAAGAAATAATATTTAAAGTTTGCAAAAAAAAATGTTTACCTGGTATGACAGAGAAGGGTTTGCATGTGCAATGTGCATGTAGCAGAGTGCACCGCAACAGGTCGCAACAAAATACGCTCACGCAGGCAACGGACACACACATGCAAGCAGCCTCGGAAGGGCGCCCGGTTGCCCCATTTTTTGATGCCGGATTGGGCGCCCGATACGTAGTTCCGTATCCAATGCGGTAATACTGGCTATATTTTCTTTTTTAAAACTACTAGAAAAAATACCCATACGTTGCAATGGATGAAAGTTATTTTAATCTTATTATTGTTATACGATTTAGTTGGTGAGCTGTGAGAATTAGCTTGGATATATATCTTTCTAGAAAATCATGAGCTTACAATTAAGAGTCCGATTATCTCAAATTAGTAGGGTGGCCCGCGCAAGCACCCAAATAAAATTTTTCAATCTTTTTACACATAATTTTCTTTAAGAACTATAAAATAATTATAATATCATTGTCTTAGGACTTTAGAAAAGTTGAACCACATGATCATCGAGTTTTTAATTTTATATTTTTAAGCCAGATCAGGCACCACCCCTTACTTTTTAAGTGGCCGTTTACTTGTTTATCCGGCCCTCCATGACTTCTATATTCATCCATCTTTTAAAATAACTGGATCAATAGTTTTTAGAGTTTGTTGTCTTGCCAGGTTCTGTATTACAATTTTTATAAGTCCAATCAAATAGCGTCACCCTACTCCTCTACTGTCCGCTTATTGCCCCCCTCCCCTCTTTATTGTCATTGGAAATTTAAAAATTAAACCTGATTATTCTGTGTTTACATTTTTACTTTCTAGTCGTCCAGTCAACCACCATGAACCAACGCCTTTATGACCTACCCGCCACACTTACTCTTTATTGACAATGAGATTCTTAAAATTGAATCTAGCTGTAATTGAGGTTTTGTTTTACAATTTTTAGATCTACTCCTTTACAGTCCACCTGTTGCTCCCTCTCTTTGTTGCCATTTGCCACCCCTCGGCTCGCTCTTCCATGGCAAATCGTCGTTTCCCTACTCCTTTGTCGCCCATCCACTTATCTACCGGTGCCGCTTTTTTTCATCTTTATTGTCATCGGCACCCTATAAAATTGAACCTTAGCATTTTTCGGGTTTCTTTTTATAGTTTTTAGACACCGCCATAATTACTTTACTCACTTATTGCTTCTTGGTTTCCTCTCCCATGGAAACCACTGCCTCCCTACTCCTTTTTCATCTATCCACTCGTCAAGCCGTGCTATCTTTATTTTTCGTTATCGTCAGTGCGCAAAAAAATTGAAGCTTATCGACGCCGTGATTATGTTAGAAGTCCCACATATGTGGCCGGCACCGCATCCCCAGTCTTACTCGCTTTCCACATATCATCGCCCTCTCGTAGCTCTTTATATTGTATTTTCATTTCGGAATTTAATGATTCTTTAAGTTTATTTGAAACTCGTATTGAAATCTAATTTTACAATGTATTTTTTATTTCAAATTTTAATGAGGGCTGAATGCCTATACATGGGCCTTCAGCAGTTTAGCCAGATCAAACAATGCCTCTGCATGTATTTTTTTTCCTATCTAAAGGCATTTTTTCCTATCGAAAGGCCCTAAATTTTTCTAGCAGGTCTTGAGTCTTTTTTTTTTTTAAAAAAAAAATCCAATCGGCTAAAGGCCTCATATCCAGATCGTATTAGGATACCCACCGGCTATGCAACCTTTTCTTAATTCCTCTTTTTACAACCCTTTCTATTACTTCTAAGGATATAATTTTGTTTTGTATTCAATTATTTCTGAGGATATTTTCTCTTTTTCTTCAATTAACATGAGAATTTATAACATCTAAAATAAACATGGTATATTTTTAAATTATATTTCTAGTTGAACTCTTCTTTATTTTTACTCATATTAATGTGGGACTATCTACCTTCCAAAGTGAGTTTTTATTTTGATTATTTAATGATTTTAAAGTTTATTTAGAATTTGTGTTGAAATCCAATTTTGGAATTTATTTGATTTAATGTTCCAATTTTGTCTACTTAATTTATTTTCAATTTTTCTACGTATCTGAGTCGCAGTCTGTCGTAGCAATGTACTGATGGACTGTAATTTTCCAGAACTTTTTATGGACTCTTATTGAATCTCAACCGTTAAAATATAAACCAACCACGATCTAAATTATAACCCTACTTAAACTCATTATTCTTGCTATGTAGTCTTTACTTATATAATTATTTTATTATATTATGTTTTGAATTTTAATGTTCTTTAAAGTTTATTTGAATTTTTTATTGAAAATCCAGTTTGGAATTTATTTTATTTTCTATATAAATTTTAATTAATATCGTGTTGTTTTCTAGATGTACGCGCTATTTCAATTTTCCTTATTTTTTTAAAAAAAAATTGGTTATTTATAAATTGTATTCCTACTTAAATTTTATCTTTCTTTTTTTCCTAAAACTAATATTTTTTTAAGCAAATCACGTAAAGAGCTAACATTATTTTTGTGCAAACGTACACACAAATAGAAGACTTTTTAAGATAATGCATCAAGCCAGTAGAGACGTGTTTCAGGGAAGAACATAAAGTGCTAAGGAAGAAAAAAGCTCAGATTATATTTGCATGTGCAGGAGATGCAGATGCCTTTTTTTTTATGTGTATGACTTCTACTTGGACATCTATATGTGCAGGCTCGATCTAATTGATATGGTCAGACTCTATCCTTGTATGACTCTATATGCAGGAGCCATATCCATTGTTATTCCTGTTTCCATAAATGCAATGTTATTCTGTATCAATCTAAGACCATTGAAATATGGATCTAGTATGATCTACCGGTCAATATTTTTTCTTTTTCTTTGATTAATGTGGTAATTTCTAGACTTCACAGCGAACGTGGTGCCTTCTTTCAAAGCTGTTTTAATAATATAATAGATTAGCATGCGAGTTTTCTGGAAGGAATTTCTTATACGACTCCTTCTGTGTTTCCAAAAGTGAACAAAATTAAAACCCGATTCAAATACGGATCTGTATTATTTTCAAAAGCAAATGAACTTAAAAACCGACTCATATACGGATGACGTACCAAAATACCGGTAAAAACATCTTCAATTTTTATAATAGTAGAGACATAATACAACGCACACACAGTCACCCCTACGAACGCACGCACGCAAACCCCGCCCCTATATTTTCTTCTTAGTGTATAAATAATCTATATTTTCTTCATAAAAAGATATTTGTATTAGTCAAAGTTATGTAAAATCATAGGAATTTTGGGCAGGTATT